GAATTGGTTCCCGAGCTCCAACCCCACATGCCGAATTGGTTCCCGTTTGAAAAAGGTATTTTATTAAGGTAAGCCGAATTGGTTCCCGTTTAAAAAAAAATGATATAAAATATACAATTTTAAATCGTTGATTTGGAAGTCAACTATAGTCATCACTAGGCGTAGGTACAAAATACAAATAATAAAATATAGTAAATACAATTATTTAAAATCGTTAATTTACAAATTTGAAGCAAACTTTCTTTAAGTATTCAATTCGCGAAAGCTTCTCATTAGTGTACTCTGCAGTCATACAATTTTCTGAGAATTTGTTATTTTTTTCTTGTTTGCTTGTAAGTTTTCTAGTATTGTTATTTCGAAATTTAATATAATTTAATGTCTGAATACTGTTTAAAGTATCCATAAAATAAAATATTTTAGGATGGGCACATGTAAACTCTTTATTCTGTTATTCAGCTTTGAATGGAACGATTCGCAACAATATGTTATCAATATTTTTGTCAAATCTAGTACAAATTTTCGGTGAAAAGTTACTGTCTGTCATTATGTATGTATTATGAACGTGGTCAAAGAACTGATCCAATTTTGGGGAGCAAAGTTTTATGGCCATCAAATCATTACAAAAACAGTCTTCGAATGATAATAAGGGCAGTCCAAAAAATAGTTTCACAAGTTGAGACTGTACAGTGCTCACTGCTCACCAAAATTATTGTCATTCGTAAATAGGATATAAACGACATACCATATAGCGATAAAAGTACATATATCTCTTATCGTTATCTTAATTGATTGGGATATCACCGATAATTTTCTAAACTTCCAATATATAAATATATTTCCATCTTATTGACTTATTGTATATTATACTATAGATTATAGAGTGTAGCCGTGTATGTACGTTTATATTTTATACTGTCTAATTTATATTTTGTACCAATTATTAAAAATTAAAAATTACCAGTATACAAACGGGAGCCAATTCGGCTCAACCCAATAAAATACCTCTTTTTAAACGGGAACCAATTCGGCTCAACTTTATAAAATACCCTTTTCAAACGGGTACCAATTCGGCCAAAAACGGGAACCAATTCGGTTACTCCCCGGCAACCATCTGATGAAGCCCTGGCCGGAAGACCCCACCACCGGTACTACCAGGTGTAGGTACTAGTGATGGGAATAATCGAGAGAAAATAATCGAATGATAACAGTAATTACTAATAAGTAATTACTATTTATTAGTAGTTACTAGTTACTAATAAAATACTAGTAATTCGAGTATTATTTTATTCTACTCATCAGTTAATGCTTAGAAACCATATTAATATCTCTAATATTGTAATATCTTAAAAAAGAAAAAATGCTGTTAAAATCTTAAATCCTGTAACCATACCATAACTGTAACTAATGGCCATGTAACTGCCGAGTTTTTTTCTTGATTAAAAAAAAAAAAAAAAAAATAAGTTTAATAATGAATTCGTATTAACCATGTTTTTAATTTTGTATTAATAAGTTGAATATTGGTTGATTTTTAATCAATAATGTTTAATGTTTTGATTATTTTAATCGAATGAATATATCGACCATGACGAAATAATATTTCGATTATTTTAATCGAGTGAATATCTCGATTATAGTAATACCTACTAGGTACCTACCTATATTACTGTGCACAGCTGGTAATATGTAAACGGTATATAGTGCCTACATAGTACGCATATACAGTGAAACCTGTCTTATCCGAACCCTTGATAAGACGGAATCCTTTTCTGTGCGGAAATGTATTATGGTCCCGGAAGATTTCTATAATTATTAACATAGGATTACACCCTTGATAAAACGGAACCTGTCTAACGTAAAACGGAAGGCTATTTAATGGTCCCATAAATCATATACACCTCATATACACGAAAAAACACATCATAAAATGAACAAAAATATTTTCGATACCCACATTTATTTTGCTACTAAACAATATTATAAAGGTCAGCGATTAATACGCATCGACAGATAAGTACATTTTATCTTGAATCTACACATCAGTGCTCAATGCTCATTATTGTCACCGTATATAGTCGTAGTTTACCCGTCGTTTCGTATCGTTGTATTTGCTTTCATAATGTCTTCAAAGATTTGTTTAAGTTTAGAGACATTTATGATATGTAGCCTATGATATTTTTTTATTATTGGCCGGAAAACGTTACAACCTTAATCGTGCAGAATATTATAACTCTACATTACGGAATTTTCCTTTTTATTCAGTTGCGATGGAAACCTGCCTAAAACGGAAATGTTTATTGGTCCCGTGCGATTCAGCACAAGACAGGTTTTACTGTATAATATTTGTGTGAGCGTGTACAAAATCAGATGTTTGGGATATACGCGAACCTATAACCCAACTGGGTTGTTTCTCGTTGGTTTTAAATGCAATAATATGTAGGTACCTACCTACTTGGGTTGTAAATAATTAATATTTCTAGTATGGGATTTGAGTTATTCAGATTTAACCTATATCATCAAGATTACGTAATAGGTATACGGGCACTGTGTATAAAAAACAAATAAAAATAACTAAAATAAATAACAAACAATATATTATTATGTTTTTATGGTAATAACATGATGTGTAGTGCATTAGTTGTGCAAAAGATATATTATTCAGTTTGTTGCAATTATTTTTTGAGTTACGTTACCTACTCACAATATTCATCGAACAATTGAATAATTGACAGTATACCACTGTTCTAAGTCGGTGTTTTATGTTTGATACTTTGATTAGATACTATTGCGGACCACATACGTATTGACCTGTTGGAGTACACCGTGTCATATAAATGGGGTGTTCGACCTTGAAACCAAAAACGGAATAACGGACGACATGTCATAAATTAATATTATATGTATAGAATCAAGCATAGAATCTTTTATATATTCACTTGGTTATGTATAATGCATTGATACCAGCTGTACCTATATTTATAGAAATCGTCGAGTGTGTAAAAATAACGAATATGACTACCCATGTCTACAATTATATCGTAAAAGGTGTGGCCACTATAACTTTTATAATAATAACTAGGTTTATTGATTATGTATATGAATTATTTGTCACATTTCCGTATTGATTAGGGTTTTTGTCAATCAATCAAAAAAGTCGTGTTGCAAACTGTAATATTATTTAATATGGACACAGTTGGCGTATGCAAGTGTAGGGTTCTAGGATTCTAACCCTCCGTGTGAAATGTCTTCTTTCGACAAAAAAATCTTATTTATCGCCACAACAATACACAGGGTAGATTAATTGTTAGTCATTTTTAACATACAAACATATAAAAACTGTACATCGTAATTGTAATGGCAATCACATCCACATCATTAAAAAATTACACGAACATTGTTTAGTCTGTGAATACCATTCCTAGGTAAACCGAACTAACCGAACTAAAATACTACGTACATCGTATGCACGGCTGCATCCGAATTGCATGCCAAAAAAAAAATGTCCAAATTATTATTATACTGTAACGTAATTTTTCATTGTAATATTAACCTTTAAAAAAATGCTATTATACTATTTTATTATTTAAAAAAAATGTTTCTATATTGACATATTTTATTATTATGAATTATTATTATATATTATTTTGTTTATTTAAATTGTAATATTGTGTGCCCAAAATGTCAAAAAAAACTACCAAATTTAAAAATAATATTATTTAAAATACACTCACTTGCAGATTACCCTAAACTGCAATAGTTTTATTTAACTAATGGCCTTTGTTGTCGATGAAAAAAAAATAGTTTTATTTTATGATTCTTATTCACAGTGTCACCTTCTACAATATATTTTATATGTTTTATTGTAATGTAACAAAATCCCGATCCTCCAGTTGAAAAGTAAGTTATTTATTTGGATATATCCCTCTAAGACAGCGTTTCTTAAACTTTTTTATCCGTGGAACCCTTTTTTATGTGCACTTTCAACGTGGACCCCCAACTTTTTTTAGCTTTTTTTTATTGAGCTCTTAACAATAAATTATTACAGCTCGACAATTAGAACCACTGCATTGTTTCAATATTTTCAATGCGTCATTTTATGTAAGGAATATTTGCAATAAAAGTTATAATTATGTGTCAAAATTTAAAATTTTGAATAAAAAACCACAAGTTTCGGGGAACCCTGAAGTGACCTCCGCGGAACCCTGGGGTTCAACGGAACACAGTTTAAGAAACGCTGCTTTAAGAGATGGCATGCAATTCGGACAAACCCCTTCAAGAGACGGCATGCAATTCGGACAACCCGATTTATATTTATTTTTTTGGCATGCAATTCGGATGCACCGGTATGCACTACTGCAGTGATTTCTAACCAATGGGCCGCGGCCCACATGTGGATCTCCAGCAGCGCGGTACTGGGCCGTGAACCATATAAATCTTTAATAATATTTAATGTTATATATGTATTTAAAATAATATTATATATATTTTTAGTATATACCTTGTAGTATTTCTGGTTATAATAATATTTATCAATAGTATCTACACCCTATAGTGTCAAATAAGTGCGTATTATTAACGTTAGATATAGGAATAAACTGAATGTTGAAAGCGATTTAATTCTAAAACCATGACAGTTTTCATCCCAATATTGACTCTCTCGCGAAGGACTAGGTGATGTCAAAAATCACATTGAATTGTTGAACTTGTGATTAAGTTTGATAAACAATTGATTTTTCAATTCTTTTTAGTTCTATAACAACTGACGTTTGTACACACACACACACACACACACACACACATATATATATATATATATTTATATATTTATGCATTCGTATACGGGTGAGCTATTTGTGGGCCTCAATAAGATTTTTTTACAAAATCGGTGGTCCGCACAGCTAAAAACGTTGGGAACCGCTGAGCTACTGTGCAGCTGCTAATATATAGAGGTATTGGGTAGGCACCTAAGTAAAATCAATATTACGAACACCAAGTTTGGCGAGTAAAAATATAATGGAATTTATTAAGGATCGATCTCGTTTAACAACAATTCTTTAATAACAGGTAGTTATATAATGAACAATATAATACAGTCGTAGGTAATAATTATTATAATATAGTCATCATTGGACGATAAGATTAACGTTGTACGGACTCGATCAGTACGATCTGTACGGGTAATAGGAAGGTCGCTGCTTGTAGGCGGATTTGTGCAACGGGGCGTCCGGGTAAGCCGGGTAAGCGGGCTCGGCGGCGGCCGTCGGGTAAGCGGCGTCGGCGGCGTGCTGGTAGACGGCGGCCGGTGCCGGACGGTAAGCGGCGGACAAGGATGGCTTGTAGGCTGGTTTATAGGCCGGTCGGTAAGCGGCGGCGGCGGTGGCGGCGGCGGCAGGTCGGTAAGCAGGGGCGGCGGCCACCGGTCGGTAAGCGGGGGCGTCGGCGGACGGGTGGCCCTCCTTGGACACGACCGCGTTGAAGCCGTTCTCCTCGTCGGCCGTGTAGTCGACCACGCGCCTGGTGCCGTCCGGTTCGACGACCGTGTACTGTCCTCTGACGTTGTCGCCGTCCCTCACTTCGGTCTGCGTCTTGTAGTCGCCCGTGTACGCGTCGGACACGTCGTACGCGAAGTTGTATTTGGGCGGGGCGGAGGGGTGCTCGTCGTCGGCGGCGGCCGCGCGCCCGTAGTAGCCGTTGTGCCGGTGGTCGGGCTGTGGCCGAGCGGCCGCTCCGTAACCGTACACTGACAAGGGACTGCCCGACGTCGTCTGCAGCAGTGATGACGCGGCGATGACGACCACGACCTGCAGCGACCGCATCTGCTAAAAAAAGGAGCAAAGCGATGAGGGTTTTTGTTTCGGACTCAATTTTTCAATACACGAAATCGAGTTTACTGTACCGTTAATTAATTTTAATATATTTACCAACTCCTTTTCAACGCTCAGAAAATAAAAATGCGTCGTGTATTTATATTATACATTGTATGAATTTAACTGGGTCATCAGTTTTTTACAGAGTCTAACATTAATTTATTCAATTGAAATTAAATGATAATATTATAATGTTTACGCCAAATGAAATAACTTAACCTACACTGGTACATATTATGGGCCTATATATATATAAGTATTGAAAGAACTACTCTTCCCATTTTTTTATGAGAACATTGAGGGTCGGATATAATATTATGATATTTTATTTCTTCAGCTATCGTAGTGGAATCTGGAAATACACAACCATTTAAATGTCACTATAGTGCTGGGAGTATTATGCAATATTAGTATATTACTAAATAATATTATATTATATTACAGTAATGCGTTTCACACCGATTAGTGTAACTAGTGTAAGTTGTACTTGATTGCGAAAAACAAAAGTGACACCCTGATACGCGCACAAAACGTATGATTTTTTCAGGAGAGCGATTTTAACATTTAAAATTATCAGGTTTTTTATTTATAAATTGTTCATTTTTGTAGATACAAATGTGTATGAATGCTTCAAATTCTATCGAAAGTGTTATATTTATTCTACATGGATATAATATACATGTTTTTTATTAAAATACTTTCATTAGTTCTATGAGAACTCGAAACTCTAAATTTGGAGATGTGTCAAACTATTCTTATAATCTTATCTATTAAGGCTAATTATAATAATAATATGTATAGTGTATTAATTGGGTGTAAACAAATTTGGAAAAAACTGTAAGCTAACGTTTCTGGCCCTATAGGGGATATTATATAGTATTTTAGCTGGTTCATTGTTGTATTTTATAAAGAAAATCGAATGTGGCGAGCTTTTACTGACAGGTTAGGTTAACTCGTCTGGTATATATTCATGTCGAAAAAAAAAATTTTTTTATTAAAATGTATACATTATTTTACATAGAGAGGTATTATTGAAAAAGGTTTAATATCAAAAGGTAAAATAATGAGTTTTGAGTGATCATTATAGTATATAATAATGTTAGCTATTGAAAGTTATAAACAACACATTTTTTCCGATGTGATGTTGCGACATAAACGAGTTCTTTAGAGAGATGTGTTTGGACCACTGAAGTCTGAAACTAACACCTAGTATACCTAACCTAACCTATAGTTTTGGAACTAAGAATTCCGAATTAGGTATTCTGATAAAATACGTGCAGCTTAATATTATAAACATATTTATAGCAAAATAGGTATGTTATTATTGCTCGGCTACCCGAAAACCTGCACGACATGTAATCAGCAATTACTTCTCATACGTTCAACGATAAATAAATATTATATAATATAACACTATACATACCAACTATTACCTACCCGCTACTTTGACATGCACATCGCAGAAAACTATAAAAAAAAACTAAGTTTAAAAAAGTAGATATTTTCGGCAAACGTGCGAACACATATTTTTTTGATGTATCTATGAGGGCCCTATGTATCTTCATATATTTTAATAATAATATTGGAACAAACGATAAATTCCGGCGAGGTCTGTACATGATATATAGATTTCAACCGTATCGTAGACTTACCGCGTAGAGTGACATTGCAGCTGTATAGTATATCGTCGTTCCTTCTGCACGACAATATTTAGCTTTATACGCGCAGAACTGACTGTGCGATCCGACTGCTCTCGAGAGTGCACTATATAGGTTTGGACGGAAAATCGAAGGGATTGCACTGTAGCAATGTGTAGAGCAATAACGGCTTTATATAGGAAAACGGTAATATTAATTGCGATTCGTATAATACAGACGAGCGTGCGCGAGTCGAAACACTGAAAGCCTACGATCACCCGACGCGTATTTATACTTGAAAAATAACACGACATACGGGAGACCTGTACCCGATACTGCATGCGGCTATCGTACGAGACGGAGGAAAGAAAGGTAGAGAAAAACGAAGGACTAGGTATAGACGGCTACTCGCGTGGCCTCGGGCTTTATCCCGGCCCCGAGATGATATACTTGTGTGTGTGTGTGTGTGTGTGTGTGTGTGTGTGTGTGTGTGGTGAATGATAATAATTGGATTCCTCGGTGCCCACGGTTCGCGTAGACGGCCGCGCTTAAGAACGAAACCCGGAGTCAAACGTCGCCGAGTGCGCGTGAGAACGGCCCTCGTTATTATTGCTAGGTAGATAATGATAACGTTATATATATACGTATATTATGATGATATGGGATAACACAAGATCGTAATATCGATCGTCGTCGGTTTCGCACGAGCCCGCTGTACCTGGGTCGATGCACTTTTCGGCTTCAAGTGTAATATTACCGACACACGACTACCTCTTCGCGACGCGTCCTGCAGGGTGATTCTCCGAGCGTACTTCACCCCACGTCCCGCAACCGTTTCGTCGTCGATCGATCAATGTATTCGAGTTCTGATATTTCTATTTGAAAAAAAAACAGGAGTTTGTACAGCCGCGGGAGCGAGGATAGTCTCTGCGAGGATAGTCTCTGCGACGATAGTCTCTGCGACGATTTACAGAATGTGTCGTGGCCTTTAAATGTGTAATTCAAAATTCCAGAAAAATAGAATTCGCGCAAATCCATCGCTGTAAACGAAAATCGGGGAGAGCGCTGAATGCCCTCGGCGAATCACTCTACGTTGATTATAATGAAATAATAACCATAATAATATGCGATGTTCATTGACGCGATGTGCGGCCAGAGATAAGGCACGGCTCAAAACGACTAAACTCTAAAAGTATAAATTTCATGAACACTGTCATAAAATATGCGTTGAATACGTCTCGCAATATCTCAACTCTACACTAGCAATATTCCACGCTGGAACCGGCTTTGTGGAAAACTGCGTTTGATGAAACCCGCCTTAGCTAGGTACTTCTGTAATAGGTACATTTTTATGCTAAATATTTGTATGATATAATAATATTTATTACGATTTTTTATTTTTACGCGCCTGAGGAAATACTCGCACATTACAAATAATGATCTCATACTTCTATTATATAGGTACCTATTATGTTAATGTACATGACATTATTTATTATATATTTATTTAAGGTCCACTTTTATGGTATATTACTATATTAGTTACAGCGGTACAAACTTACATTAAATTATATGTCCACAACAATAAATTAGCATTTAGCCTAGCTATAATGTGGAACGAATTATTTTATCGTTTTATATTGACAATCCATTACATATTTATTATTATTTAAATTGGGCGGAGTGTTTAAAGTTGTTTAAAATTAAATGAATTACATATAATTAAAATGTTATCCGGGAATAAGCGTTATACAATTATACCTTATACGTATATCATATATATTATAATATATTGTAAGAACCGATGGTTGATCAACCGCTTAGACGGTTGAGTCAAGACAATATTCAGTTTTAGAAAACGAAATCGGTCGCAGTGGCTCTTAAACGATTGTGTACCTATTTCCTTCTATATATATTACAGTAGAAACCTGATTAACCGTCCCTCTCTGTTATCCGTCATCGTCGAGAAAAACATCTCAGCTTTTTCACTTACGTAAAATAGTAAATACTGTTGTACCTATGTGCCGGCCAGTTTGGTGCACACAGAAGTTAAATTAAATAAGAAAAATAAATACAGTATCGTATTCGTAGTAGGTAATTGGACAAAGAAGCAAATGAGCTGAGGCAGCACATGGCAAAATTGCATTTAAGCACCGTGGTAGAAGGGCAGTGAGGGTCCTATACAGCGAGGCCGGTATGTTTGATTGTGTCTCTTATTTTTGTGTTTGTTTTCAAAATAATAAAAGTAATTTGAATAATGTGAATCTGTCAATTTTGTGAACCGTTCGAAAGATAAGTATACGACAATACGGTATATTGCCGCTCAAAAAGCTCGAGCCTCGGAGAAACAAAAGAAGATGACGAACTATTTCGTTTAGTATATATATTATGTACGTTTATATTATTTTTTTATGAACACCCGTAAAGTATATACGTTTGTGGTAAATTTTCGGTTAGCCTCATATTCGGTTAACTGTCACAGTCTCGGTCCCGATAGTGACTGTTAATCGAGTTTATACTGCGCATGTTATTTAGTCATTTATGTATAACGCACTATACTTACTTATAATATAATCAAGGAAAATGAAAACTGATAGAATAAATTAAAGAGAGTGAAGGATTTTGAAGGCAATAAGCTCGCCGGAATTGTCGCCAAAATTTGCTGGGGTTTTAATTTTTCTTAGACTTTTTATCCTTACACACAATTATTATTATTATTATATTATATACATGATATGCACATTGGCCCAATTGCACTTTACCGTAGCGATGAGCTTAGATGTACATAATATTATAGCCGTACATCAATCGCTCCAAAATGATCTTTTTACCTGTGAGAAATCTATCGATTGAGCATCGTGTCAAATCCAATGAAAATTTTTACATATTGATTCCGCCTGCCATAAATCAGCTGAATATTTATTAATAATTATTCGTATTAATAACAGCAAAATGTTGAATGCTTACTGCTTACATTGTGGGTACATTAGTAGTATTATAAATAAAAGTGATTAGCAGTTCGCTCATAATAAAATTGCATTGCTGAAATAGAATATTCCATGAACAAATACAAACTGATTCGTATTTAATTATAAGAGGGCTAAACAAAAATAAAACATGCAAAAAAAAAAAAATAATTAAACTAAAAAAAAAATACATAACAAACATTTTTGACAGTTATTTAAATGAATAAATTGATGGATTCACTTAAATAAAACTGCCGTGAAACCACCGTTTTAAAAACATTTTGTAAGAAAACCAATCACTAGGTCTTTGAATTATATCATTTTACTATTTTAACAAATTTTACATTGTGTTCAGTTGCTTTTTTTTACCACGAATCATTATGTATGTAGAATTATTATGTTATATTTTTCGTTGTTTAAATTGTTTTTATTTAAACAAAAACAATTATGATAAGCCTGGGTGTACCGATACTGTTAACTAAAAAAAAAAAAAAAACACTGTATAATATCATACATCGGTTATCGTTTAGTAAACAGTCAGCGGAATTGTTAGGCGAAATCGATTAAACCCCAATCCAAGATACAATACACATCTTGTGCCATATAAACATACAGATATGTACCCAGTGTCCCAGTACTCCCAGTAGTTACTATGTACGAGTAACACGTGAAGAGTAATATATACAGTTATTTTCTATTTTTCTAATTAAGCCAAAAGGAAAAGGACGACCGGAAAACAAGGTTGCTGCGTTCTATATATACCAATATACCTACCTAAGATATATCGGATATGGACGTGTGGTATATGAATTCCAATGAACTTTATACATGTTACGTATATATATCTTCGAAAGTAGGTACAAAGCAGTACAGCACCCAATAAACTAATCTCGTGACTCGTATTATTGAATCGAATGTGAACGCAAATGAAATAACACATGTGTAATGCCTTTCGCAAACTGCAAGACCGTTGAAATGACTTTCGTTGTAAAAGAATAACTATAAAAAAATAATAATAATAAATAACGAGTAAAATTGTTTTCATACGTAACGTAATAATCGGTAGTAGGTAGTAGATTTTTGGTTTTATTTTTTTTTTTATAATTTAGCCCGTCAAAAAATATTTTTAGAAACGAACATTAATATTACGCAACAAAAAAAACCGTAGATAATAACTACACTGCGGCTGCAATTGAAATCGTTATAATTTATCATTTTTTTACAGTGGCACATAAAGTTCCTATTTGTAAACATATATATTATATAGGTTAGTGTTATTATGTATTATTATTTAATAGTTACCATATCAGTTATAATCACATTAACACTATTTTTTCCTAATCGTTTATCAAAAAAATCTTCTTACATGTAGGTAAGAATAGTTTTATATACACCACTAAACCTATAATATCGTTCATCAAGTATTATTATGCGATTAAGTGTCGGAATCACATTATTGTGAAAGACACAGAAAACATGTGACGGTAAAAAGTGTACTGTTCCTGTGAACGGCTCAGAATTATGTAACGACGATCTATAGTCTATGTATATCTAGCTTTATCTAAATAGAGGATCGCAAAAAGTGACAATAAACTGAATAAACGTATTAATGTCCAGGCGTAATCCGGTATGACGTAAGTATAAAAAGTAAAACCAGTCGTATAGCTAACCTGGACCGAGAAAGAGCTCGGAAAACATGAGCGCGGTATAGAGGTATAGAGAAACAAAAACTGAAATAAAAAAATAAACATGGAAGTATGAGTACAGTTATACAAGACTTATCTCGCAAAGATCTTCTTTTTCCCGTTGACACGTGTCTGCGAAAAGAGCCGAAAACGTGACGAAGTTTATAATATTATAATATTACATCGTTATTCGTTACGTCGTTGGGCTTCGACTGTTGAAGAATTGACGTAATAACAACCGAGAAATTAATTATTGTTAATCGAATTGGAAATCGCCACCGTTATAATAATAACTCAGAGATAAGGCTTATTATTTTGAGGATTAAGCAGTGTGAAAACAGTTCGGCTCCCATATAGTGATGCCACATGGAAAATAAAGATAACGCTTTTGAGATTTTTTATTAAACGGTTAACAGCGTTAAACGTGTGTCCAAAAACAGTTTTTGACTCGTATTAGTTGAAATCTCCGAGGAAAGTGTTTCGTTCAAACCCTATTGGCTCACTCATATTATGATAGTTAAATATAAACCGGATATTGAGACGTAGGTAAGTATTTAAGACGATCAGAAACCCTGCATAAATTGCCATCTATTTTGCCCCGGGCCCCCTCAAAAAGTATACCAACATATCCATTCAGCAGTTAAGCACCGCGCGGTACCTGTAGGTATAGGACCTATCATAATTTTGCAAAACGCTTTTTTCCGCCGACGACCGGCGAAAAACCTTCGGCCCAAACATTACTGTTGCTACTGCAGCTGCCGCTGTTGTGCAAAGTTAATTACGGTTATTATTGTTGCTCACGTACAATATTCGGTTTGCCTGGACGTAGGCCAGTAGCTCTAATATCGCCCACGCAGACGTACGGCCGTAGTAGGTCTACATAATAATATAGTAAATTATGTTGCTTAGGTATAGATGTAGGTGTATTGTGTATACCTAGCAGAAATATCTAATACCTGTATAGTAGTATACTAATATTATATATTATGATATATTATTATCCGTAACGAGACGTAATGAGGCGCAACAGGTCGGGAACGTTTCATGAGGTACGCCGCCCTACAAATAACGCGAGCACAATAATAATAATATCATAATGTACCTGCCCGGTGTGTACGACGCCTGTGCGTCTATATTTCACAACTCCGTTCAACTTGACCCCGTGACTTCCACAGAGTCATTTACATCGGCCCCCGAGTGCACAGAGCTCGTGATTCGTTAGCGATATGTTGTGGTTTTTCTGAAATAATTGAGCCGCTAAACGCAATGACCGTCACCGCATTACAATGTAAATACAAAATGATTTCACGCATTGTTGCCTATACACTCCTGCAGTATTATTACCCACTCGAGTTCTTATACACGTCTTCTCAAATCATCGAGTGACAGAATGAAATACGTAGTATTGAAAAAACACTACGCTAACCCGCGTGTGTGGGATGGGGCCTGACTGTCGTATTATTATGTTTTACCCATTCCGACGTCGATAATCATAATTAAATAGGTACTTGATTAATTCCTGCTGAGAGGTTTTCGTCGTTATTGAAATTTACCAAGTAAACATGTAAATATATAAAACGATTTATAGCGTTATAAGGTATCTATAGGCAGGGGCCGAGTGGCCGGTCTGGAAATGGGAATTTTCCAGATGGCCTGGACCATATTATGGCCTGGTGGCCTGGCTATTTTGTCATATTTTTCTTTTAAATTTAATTTAATTTACAAAATATTAGAAAATGCAAAATGCATCAAAAATTTGTTTCTATTAAATTATTGTACTAGTAATAGTATTAGCCTAGTACAACCGTATTCTCGCTTTTGGATATAAAATTTCAAAATATTTGGTACATAAATATAGACATCAAACAAAATCAAGGCAATATATTGATATAGGCTGGTTATTTTCATAATAAAACATGGAAATAGATAATAATATCATCATAAATGTAGTTGGTGAGAAATCTAAGGTAGTATCTAAATTATTACTATAAATGTATAAATCTTTTTTATTATATTGTTTATAGTTTATGTATTTATTTATTACTTACTACCTTATACCTACTATACCTAAACCATTAAGACACAATATATAATTATTAATACAGTGGATGCCGCTATAAGACTCACGGATATAAGGTTCAATCGCTTATATCAGACTCAAAACCGTCTGAAACTGTCAGGACGTATCCAAATAAATTATAAAAAATTCAATTATAAGACTCGAATTTCGTGAAAAAAATGGTAAAAACTAAACATTTTTGGTTAAAAAATATAGGCACCTATACCCATCAATGACTGACAACACATTACGTTTAAACCTATATATTATTGCAACCGTTTAATTTAGAATATTTCTCAAATTATATCTCACACTTTATCGATCTGCATTTACTTAAAAGTTAAAACCTCAAAATATTGACTGAACGCGGGCAGATTAGTGACACGTAGGCAATGAAACAATAGCTGTTTCTATGTAAATAACACAGGTACACGTCTTATGCGCGTCCCAAACGCTTTCATTTAAATTTATTTGGACACGATTTGTATGCCATCGCAAATCCACTTCACAGATTCAAATACCACAATGATATTATCTGCACGTAGTAAACCACACGCGGGTAAATGTCAATGGGTCATTCGATAGATATAGTCATATAGAATTTAGACACGTATAGAATTCAGATCAGGATCGTTAGAGAATAAATATACGCTGGGAAATTTTGTGTGTACACGACATGTTATGTGCAAGTTTGTGCAGGTATAATGCGTATTATGCATTACATAACACGAGGTATAGGTATAATGAGGAGCGCATGAGTCAGGTCTTATAAAATGGTATACCTTCCTATATCTATTAGGTAAATATTAAATCGAGACACCGCGAGTAACATAATATTTCAACTCGATCTGGTATAACATATATGTATAATATATGGGACTATAATATTGTTGGGTATTATAATAAATTATTAATTAGTTGTTCAAAAGCTTAATTATTTGGACAGGTCCGAGAAAGTTCGTTTGAATGATTTTTGATTGTTGTGCCAACTTTGTTGTGCCGGTTTCACGTGGGTTGCCTTCATATTATATAAGACATTTTATCAAAATTTATTAAATATATATTTAATTACTAAAATGGTATGATAGAATATGGACAATAAAACAGTTTTCATTGCCATTAGAACATAATGTGTTACGTATTCACAAGATAATATTATGTTTCGAAAATTTGTTATTTTACGTGTAAACGACAAACCTAACGCTGTTGAGATTTTTAGAAGATTATTATCTAAGACTATTATCAAGAAAATATTAACAACACTTTTGATGGAATATTTATTTCTTTAATTTAGCCTCGATACCCAAACATTGATTAATTAATCATAGTTTACTATTCATGTAAAACAATAATTAGTAATAGTGACTTATTATTACTACGATATTATTATTATTATTGTATGGTATTATTAATAATTATAATACATAATATATTAAAATATACTTTAAACGATAATATGGGATACTAGCCATACTAAAATAGTGATGAACAAATCGTTATTATTGCTCCCGGTATTGTATATAATTTAAGTGTATTTAGCCATATTGTTCGTGTTAATCTTAAGGAGTAGAATAGGCAACTATTATAACAACCTCGGAGGTAAATTATAATATTGCAATGTTATTTTGATAATAAATGGTTCACCAGATTCCATATTCAAAGGGTCCCATATTGTCATTTATAGTAAGTACTTTATTTACCTAATGTACCTATAAAGTATAAATGTACAGAATATTTTACTGTGAATATTATTTGTTATTATAATATAAGGTATAATGTAAAGCATCCACGTCCCACATGTTTAAAAACAATATTTTTCATTATGTAATACTTATAAAGTTATAAATGTTTATTAACTTTTAATATCTGTAATAATTAGTGTAAGACACGCGTTCGACAACTGAAGATTTTATATTTCGAATAATATATGTATATTATTAATTATAATATTATAATATCTTTATAGTTCAGTTCTAAGTGCCATTAATTTAAACCTATTGTGATGTTTCTCAAGTGTTTTCCAAATCAAACGATTACATATTATATACTGTGTACCTACCTATGTATTTTTTTCTAGTTTAGCTTGAATAATACCTATTTATCTACCTCATTCCTCAAACCCGATCCAATAATACCATATAGGTACCGATATAATTTCTTCATGTTATATAATACAATTAATACCGTTATATTTATACATACATAAGTATATAATGTTTGATAACATTATTTATTTTGAATAAGTAGGCACTTAAATAAATGTTGAAGTCGTTAAATTGTTACTCCGTCTAATGAAAGCAGAAAAACCTGACATACCTCTATAAATTAGTGAAATCATTGGAACGTCAGAGTTTATTAAAACTCAATATTTTATTATAATGACACACAACAACAGTTTTGACGTATCTGGATGCAATAGTTTATTTTGAAATAATTATTCAAAATCAGCAGTTTAAATAATGTTATAGAAATAAATAATATAAGTCATAAGATTAAGTATGACATATTCCTAATGGCTAATACAATGTACAACAATAACTACATTTATAAAATATACATTTTTGGCATGTGAAGAATATTTAAACATTTTAAAAAAATATTTGTTTAAATATTAATGTTAAGAGGTTAAATTAAAGTGTATATTGAAAACGTTTAAATTATAATTTCTAATTTTCTACGGTGGTGATAAAATTGCAATGTTTTATGAGAAGTTTCTATTTACCCATAACATACCCGTAGAAAACACGAATTTTATTTATTGTTTCAATACTTAAATTATAACAAACAAAAGATTAAATAATGAATTTTTTTTATAAATTTGAAAGTTGGATATTAGAATGAAAACAAAATATACAATTGACGTCGAGCCAAATCGATATAGGTTATATATATATATATATCATTCAAATAGACGAAAAGGTATTAGGTTATTGGAGTACTGCTATCTTTCTGACATAGTTTTTTTTATGGATAACACTAACGAAAATTGATAATGATTGTTTTTTTTTTGCAGTCAATAACTTTTATTTGTCTTTATTGTTTATGGTAAATGTACGTATATGCGTACTAAAGTACTTATCCCTTTCGATCGTTTGTAATCGGTATAAAAAAAATAATATCATAACAGTGATCGAAATAGGTTGTGCATCATCTATAATTTATTTAACTTAGGAAGTTAAAAGTATTGACGCGTGAAAATAATGAAAATATTTACTGTATTATACAAATGTTGAAAATTTATCGATTAAGGTAGTCGCCATTAACTTGATCCTTTATAAATGTGAGTATTTTAATTTATAATAAATGATAATATATATAAGCAGTGGTGGATGTCCTTAAAATGATATGTGTTTCTGTGGATATTTCTGAGGACTCACCTGCCTACAAAGAATAGCGTTATACAGCCTAAGCATATTTAGTTGAAAATACAAAAAAAAATGGCTAAAAAATATAAAAATATACACCATCAATATTCAATCAGAAATTCATATTTATATTTTCAATTTTATTTTATTAATTTAAGATTATGTTATAATTTGTGTAAAATTGTTAAAAACGTGTGTACTTAGTAGAAACACTTAATAGTTGAAAAAATGTTTGATCTCTTATTTCAATGGAGGTTTCTTGGAGCAAACTAAATCAATCATTGGCATTCTGGAGGTCAAAAGTCAAAAATTTCCTATTTTTTTAAAAAATAATCGGCTAAAGCATTAAAACAATACGGAAACAACTGAAATTTCTAGACTAAAACTAGTTTAAAACTCAAAACTGAATATTAATCAGCGGGGACTAAAATGTTCAACTAAAATGTATTCACATATAAAATAACTAGATATGAATTAATTTAAAAAATATTTTAGCTTTTTTTTACTATTTACATCTTGTGTTTTAAATTTTCGACTATTTTTGTTTCATGTGATTAATAATTATTTATTATAAATAAAATAACTCATTAGTAATTAAAGTGCAACACCTTTTTTTAAAAAATTATGTTACACTATGTATGTAGTGAGCCATTGTATAATAATGACTATTAATCACCCATAATCCAATTACCCGCTCACCTACCAAAATATGTTCTATATGTGTGCTGAATTAACATCGAATAGCCGCCACTATCTAAGTGAAACATAAGACCGAAAAAAAAACATTTTAAATTTTACGGCATCGTTAGGTTACATTTTGGCAAAAAAATTATCTCGAAAAGGTTAATTACAACTAATATAGCGACATAAAATAGTTTTAATGTGATGTTTCTATTTCTTCGAATACGGATTTGATTTCAGATGAATTTATTTAATGCAAAATGGTATGCAGTTTGTTACACGAGTATAATATACTTACTGTAAATAGCTACGAAAAATTAAATTGGTTAATTAATCAGCCGTGTGTGAATATGTGTTACCTAACCGGTTGACCAGCAAATTGCGATGGAATTCATAAAGAAAAAAGTCATAAAGTACAGTTTGCTTACCAAACATGTGCTCCATCCCTCTTAAACATTTTTTATTGACTAATGACAATTGCCAATGAGATGAAGGTGAGTTTTACTGCTTCAATACTATTCTGAATGATAACCATGTTTGTATTTGTGAATGAAAAAACATCAATACTATTACTAACAATAGGTATTCTAAATTCTAAATTTTAATCTACACTAACCGTTGAATTTAAAATAAATATAATCATTTCTGAAGCTATAATAACATGTAGTAATGACAAAGTTTAGGGTACTCTTCAACGTACCTACCTATACTAAAAATACATTCTTATTATTCGGTGCTTATACATAAGTACGGTATGCTCATATGGACAAAAACGCCGAAAACAATAATTGTTCCGTCCAATTAAAACAAGTGGGTATAGGTAGGTACCCGCCTGTCTGCTGATGGCCAACATCAATATTTTGCTGTTAATTACACGCTGATTGTTTTGTTTGTTTGTTTTGTATACATAGAGAGAAAAACGAGTGTTAACCTCTATATATACCTAATTAATATTATAATATTGTTTTATAATACGTCGTTGGAAGTTGCGAAAAAAAACAAATCACTGCGGTCAGTCTCGCCGGTAAATACCATCACCTAATACCTAGCAGCGAGGGGGGCAAAGCTCGCCGTATTATTGATTCGTTTTTTTTTTCGAGTTTTTTGGACTTCCAACTCGCGAAATCGTCCGAAAATCCAGTCGTCAACGCGGACGTCAAACGGCACCATCGTCGTCATCTGCAGGTCTGTAGAAATACTTCCAATTTCCATTTAATTCCGCGACTGCAGAGCACGCTACGGGAATAATCGCCACCGTCGTCAGTATATGAATTTTGGATGACGTCCGATGATTCGCACCAAGTAGGCGGACCTTTGCAACGGTGCAGTTGCGATTATCCGCAGCCGCCGGACGCCGACCTCATAACGGTGGCGGTCGCCGTGGATACCGCGGCAGAGGTGGAGGCGCAAAGGAAACGGCAGCAAAGGCAGCGGAGGCGTGACGCGGAAGGTGAGGCGACTGACGGGGCGTCCGACGAGTCCTTTTGGAAACGGTCCACGGCATTTGTGACGGATTGCGCGGCGCGCGTCAGACGTGGCGCCGCCCGTCTGTGTCCGGACTGTTGAATACCAAGTCCGGATTAAGGGGGGGGGGCAAAGGGGGCCGTGGCACCCGGGCCTTGGTGGTTGGAGCTCGTTTAGGGGCCACACATTTTTGTCTGTTAATTTTTTCGTTATAGGCTATACATGCCATAAATCACCTAAAAAAATCGATGATATATTTTCTGACGACATTATTTTCAATTACATAATAATAATATTATAATATTATACGCATATTATAATATGTCAAATAAACCTCTTATAATAATTCACTATTAAAGTCCATCAATTCGATTGATGTCGCCCATCAATCGAACGGGCAAAAGATGTTTTTGTACACCAGTACACTGCAACAACACAACACGTTGCAACAAATTTGTCGTCTTCTGTTATCGTTGTTCATTTTGAATGGTTTGATGAGTTAATTTTTATATTTTTCATTCTTTTTTAATATTTTAAAAATGAAAGGGCACTTTGAAAGTGGTTCTCCAAAAAGAAAAACAAAAACAACAGATTGAAGTAAATAAGCGCCTGTAGACTGTAGAAGATTAACGAGTACAGGGGCCTCATTTAAAATGTCGGCCCCGGGGCCTCAAAATGTCTTAACCCGGGCTGGGACGAATAATAATTTTTCTTGCATGGCACGATGTGGAGAAGATGTTAAGGTGATATCACTTGTCAAAATTTGACAGAACGGATGCCAAAAATATGTAAGTACGGCGGACCAGGAGTTCCGAAATCTCTCAACCGAGTACGCCACCATTGGCCCGGGACATATTTTATTTCCAGTTTTAATGCGTAAATAATCCGCAATTAAATATTTAAAAATGTATTCAAATGTAAATATAATGTTCACAGTAAGAATATAAAATAGGTGAAATACAATATTATTTCATTATATGTTGCACAATGTTGTATTTTATCGGTATATTTTATAGAGATAAACCAATCGATAAGCTTGTATTATAAATTATAATTTATTATATTGAACATGACGTATTCGTATTATTATATTATATTACGTTATTACACTTTAAAAAGGTTTGAACATTAATTGAAAAATAAATATAATTTTCAACTTTTAGTTTATTTATTTGCCAATAAGTTATTGATATATCTGAACTCCTCCTAAATGGCCGGACCGGTTTGAATGCATTTTTTTGTATGCGTTTGGGTGACGTCCTGCATGGTTTAGATTCACAATTATTGGACCCGATGGGTCCGACCCGGGGAGTTGCTCGAACAGGAATTTTAAGTTTTACGGAGAAAATATTCGTTTATATACGGTTGATATTGGTTACAGGACAATTAATATAAATATATTTAGTAGAAATTGGTATTGTTTTTTTGTTTATTCGCGGTAGTCCATCGGGCAGATCAAGTATATAAACATGCATACAATTGCATTTTCGCACATTGCCCACCAAGGTGGCCGAGTTGCACTTATGGCCGCTCATCGGCGTGTCCGCAGTCAAAATCAAAATAAAACATATTATTTATATAAAGTACTCATCAAGCGGGATACATGGGCAATCCACAGCAGCAGGTAGCCATAATATACTGCTCGCATTATCACCACCGAGTCTCATATGGAGTTTGCATTTCTAACGGGCAACAAAGTGCACGCGGGATCGGCTAGTTTTACCATACAATTATAACTAGCTATTAAAAATTCTCATAAAAATCTGATATCTTTTAGTAGCTTAAAAAAAGTAAAACTATTTTGAAAATTGTATGGTGTATAGAAAATGCTAAAATAAACATTCGATAAAAATGGCAATGTGACAATTTTATATATTTTTCAAGCAGTTAGTATGGTTCCCCTAAAGATGTTTGTGTTGCTGTATTATTTACTATTAATTATATACATTTTTATAAAATAATACTACTCAATTAGTTTTCATTGTGATTTGATTTTTAGAATTTTATTCATACCTACTTATTTGTTAATTTTTCATTATTTTAAATATTAAAAAAAACCATTACTCAAGAAACATGAAAAAAATGTTTATTTATTAGTTAGTAAGTGTTATTGATGTATTTTAATATTATATACTATAATTAAATACCTAATGGCTAATCTACTAAACTCATCTACTAGACTCACTAAAATCATTTTATATTCTGATTGGAGCAAGGAACGTGTTGGTTTTACAATGATGCACCTGCCACCTATTCCGAGTGGCTGAGAAAATTTTTTTTCTTTATTTTTTAATTACGTGCAGGTAGGCCATTTCATCCAATAATAATACAAACAGAACAATAATGTTCTGTTATATAACCGCATAGCATTTCAGTCAAGCAGTTCAAGTTTTAAGCAATATTTTAGATTATAGCTATGGTCCACAATAAAAATTCATCTATTGAGAATTTTTTGATTTTAAACACCGTACTACAAAAATAAATGTACTCAGGAGTCAGGAGTACTTTTTTAGGTACCTAAAAACGATCAGTTTAGTATGTTAATACTACCTACAATATTGAAATTCAAAGTATATTATGTATTACATAATCCCTCTAGAGACTAAAAATGAAATCTCTAATTGCACTGTATTTATTACATATAGTATTTGTAACTGGTTGTTTGAAGAATTACATAAGCATTAATTATGTAATATTTTTATTTTTAATTCGGATTCCCGTCGTGATAGTATATTTTTTTGTTTATTTTATTTTATATAATTAGTACTTCAAACTTTTAGTTTACAGTAGTTGTGTTTTTTATAGCTTCCTACTTCATAGAAAAAAGTTTATATAAAAGAGTAGGTGGTTATCTTTGTATTTAATTTATAAAGAAGAATAACAAAAAATGTATGCATTGTCACTAAAATTTATCGTGTACGTTTTATAATTTATATTTATATTTTACAATATTACAATCCTAATTTTATTATTGAGCACAATGATTTTTTTCTTAATTAATTTGTTAATGAGTAATATGTACTATTATTGATAATTTGAATATAATACATTGAATATTGAAACAATAGTTTTATTTTATTTAACATTATTAATACAAATTGAATAATTATTTTATTTATTTTTTATACACATTGTACTATTTCAAAATAAATACATTTGTGTATATTCATGGCGAAATCTTCTTTTCGGTGCACTTTAATACCCAATGGTTTTGTAAATTGCTTTGATGTTTTATGTATGTATGTTTTTTACTCAAACTAGTTTAAGTATTAATTTATTCTGTACTAATTTCCATTGGGCGTGTATTTCAAGTAAATAAATAAATAGAAATAAAAATAAATTCAATTTATATATTGATCATAACTATAAGAATCAAACGAATGGATTTAAAATATATTTAGGTAGGTACCAATACTGGCTACTGTAATAGATATATGACACGAGTCTAAATTATTAACATTAGTGTATACGATTTTGTCAATTTAAATCTAATTGTTAGAGATAAATTAAAGATTTGAAAAAAAACCGTTAAATAAATTATGAAATAAAAATGTAAATTATATTATTTTAATTATTATTAATAAATAATATTATATGGATTTACTTATAAGTTATATTTTACTAGATTTTTGAACTTGACAATTAGTTCTGATAAATACATTCATTATAGCATTACCTCAACGAATTTACAAGTCGTATAAATATACAATAAAAGTTGAGTATACAACCAAAACATTGAATTTATCTAAAATTATAAATTTCAATGATAATTTTGTATACCACTAATTGATTATAAACACTAGCTAAATAAAAACTATAGTTTAAAAATAACCAACGTTCACTGCGTGGTTTATGATCTATACTAATCGCATACATATGATTTATATATATAATATACATTATACATACACATGACCACATACGAATATGTATAACAATAATAATATACGCATGTGTGATAAATACATATATAGGTATTTAGTACTCTCGCGGTAGAGAAACGATGGTTAAAATATGTTTTATGTACACAGTGTAATAAACTATAATATTAATATTATAATAGGAAATTATAATAAACACGTTAGGTGAAGATTTTTGCTTGGAGGGGGGGGGGGGTCCAGTTGTGGACGGGCAACCGTTTTATCAGCACTTGGGCGGCTGACATTGTTTGCAGTTCTCCATCTGAGTTTCGAATTCTTCGATTTGTAGCGTGCAATCGAAGAAATTGTACTTTTTGTACATCTTGCGCGAAGCTTCTTTTAGCACTGTAGTAGTGTTCGCTCCGGGCTCTGTATACATAAAATACACAGAGATGATTAATAAACGATGCTATTTTATTGATATGCTGACAGGGGTGAGTCGTCGTGTATCAGCGATTCTCGATATTTTTGAGGCCACCGCCCCCTTATACTATAATGTCATTATGATTTTTAGTGACTCTTTTATCGCGATATCGTTAAAAAGTGAATGTATATTGGCGACCCCCCCCCCCCCCACCAGTTTGAGAATTTCTGGACTGTACCCATGCAAACTGCAAGAGTATTATACAGGGACAATTCTTTGGAACGGTCGCCGAGTAAATTATTAGCCACGTCTTAAGGCAATCGAAAATGTCTCCTCTCTGCGCGCATCACGATAGTGACCGTTACCAGACACTTAACTTATTTTCCTTAGCAAACTGTGGTTGTAGTGTTATTGCTAAGCACCGATTAAAATGAAAATATAATAAAGAAATAATACAATAAATTTTAATTATTGCGGCAATATTGATTTTTTATAAACACTAGATAAATAACCATAGTTACGAAATTTTTATTTAGGAAAAACGTGTAAGAGTAAATATTAAACGTAACAGAGTAAAATGTTTTTACATATTTTTTTCCCCCAATTTACGGCCTTTTTTCTCGGGCAGTAGAAAATGTCTATTGTTCTAAGCCATCCACTGCACAGAATGCTCCGAATTATTCATCGAAATGTGTCCTGATTGTCTCAGCTGCTCTCCTTGGCTACTTATAGAATTTGAGCGTTTTTATTTTTTATTTTTTTATTGTAAAGCTTTGTTATAAATTTGTTACAGCTTTGTTTATGTTACTTAATTATTATTGCCTACATATATGTATCCTTGTTAACTACTGCCGATTGACGTAAAATATATATAAATAAATATCACTGCATGATGTGCACATAAACGAAATTCATGATTATACTCACTGACTGCCAGATGGGCGGCCAAAGCTATTTTGTCCGGACTCAGGGCCCACACCCTGAGGTTGTGCACCCTAACCACGCCGTCGATGCTCATGAATGTCTCCAGGACATCTACGAAATTCACTCCTTTCGGCATGCCTTCCATCAATACTACCATAGTATCTCGGAGTATATTAAAGGTAGTGACCAACACCAGCAAGGAAAACATGAACGTACATATTGGATCCACGATTTTCCAATCAGGCTGAAAAATCAAATTATTATTAGTAGGTATGTATTTCTATATCTAATTTGTATATATATGCAACAGTGAAGATGGTTGGCGAGGTGTGACTTAAAAATCTAAATGCATTATTAATTTAAAACCTTTTGACATTCAACATGCTGCAAGTAGAAGATAGTCTACGATTTACTAACGTAAAACATGTTCGACACATTCGGTTACATCTATTTATATTATATAAACTAAGGATCAGTGGAGATTTAAAAATATGCCATCTATGATGTTTAGTATCTGAAAAAGAAAACAAAAAAAGTAAAATGAAATACTTCTTACGTTTGGCTATTGACATTAAACGAACGAATGACTAACACGGTATCTACAATGTATTATACGTAATTAATGAAAAACAAAAATTCACAACGCAGAATACAATAATTTAAGTCGGCGATTATTGATAACTCCGTGAGTTATTTATTAATATTTTACTGACACAATACTATTATATTATATAATATGATATAACCTCGTTTCATGTACAAGGTTTAGGTGAGCTGTGTGTGGCGTATTCAAGTAGGTACATATTGTTTATATTACAAACCCCAAAACGTTTCTAGGTCATCTGCGTAACAGGTGAGGGGCGGGGGGCTTAGCTCCTCTATATGTGTATATTTTAGCCCCCTATAATATATATTGTACTCATTTTATTATTCCCTTTTTGTTTTTAATGATGAGCTTATATACTTTAATTTTATTGTTTATTTTTAATTTTGATTTTAGAGGACACTTACGGTTACCGCGGTGGGAGCGTGCGACCCCCAAAGTTATTTTGAACATTAGTTTTCTAGGACTGTAGTTACGCCTATGACTTAAGCATACTTATATGCGTATAACCTGAAATGGGTAAACGTCAGATAGGGACTACGAATGTATTATGATTTCGCTCTAATCAAATATATCGCAAACAAACCGTCCTTGTTGAATTAATTAAAAATTAATACGTTTGCTCGTTTCAATTTATACGCGTTGCGCACTATATACGCGGCATTAGCGTCATTTTCTTGATAATATATTCGGTTTACAAGAATGACGTACACTAAATCATGTACACGTACAATTTTTTTTTCAAAACTTTTATCACACATACAACGCGGGAGGAATGGGAGGGAGGGGGGGAATAAGAGTTTATCGAAAATAATATAAAAATTATTGCTCAACGTGACGGAGTGTAATCGTTATCATAAGGCTTGTCGTACACTGCTTAGGTATAGGTACTCGTATCGCTCGGTATCTAACCTACCGTATTGTGGATCAGTAGCATAAAACTACTCGGTGCCTATATATAGTACCTTTACAATATTATAACAGGATACAATTCAATGCCGCTGCAGAGGCTCAAAATTATTGTGAGCACGCTGATAACAATTTTTCAACACTTTAAGAAAACGCACTGTATAATAATAATTATTGTAATACCACCTACGTATATATAGTATATACGTACAATAATAGCCCGACAAGTTAGATAAGAGGATTAAATATTAATAATAATAATAATAATAATAATAATAATCGAATACCGGCGAGGAATTTTCCGTGCGGCAAACGAGCGGTTCGACGGACGTAAAACGTGCCGTGTAGCACGTAGTCGCTCTGAATATCATATAATATAGTTAGCCACAATATTGTATACTCACTCTGAAGTAAACGATAACGGCGGCAATCAACACGCCAAGGCTCTGGATGATGTCTCCGAGGACGTGTATGTAGGCTGCCCTGACGTTGATGTTGGAGGTGCTGCGACCGGTCGCCTCGTCGTGGCTGTGCGACTCGAGACTGCCTCCGCCGTGAGAGTGCGAGTGCTGGTGAAGGGTCAAGCCCATTCTGTAACGATACGATACGCGCGAGAGCGACTTTAAAATCGGACGATCGGCAGCTCATATAATATCAATATCGTTGCGATCGACGAACGTCACGAAAATTATCGTATTCGCAGCACACGACATTATATATGGACTGATCGAACAGACGACCGCAAACAAAAAAAAATGTATTGAATCCACGGGGAGTCGACATAATGATGGTCCCTTGTTGGACATGATTCTCGGTGGCCTCTGATCGGTCAGTTATGTTTTTCATGCGACCCCCGGCAATAGCTTTGTTATAAATGCTGCACGACGAATCCAGGATTCATATAAAAATACTAATAACTAATAGGTACTTTTAAATCAAATCTGACTAACGGAACGATTATAATATGCGATTAAAAGCTATATACGTAAATAGGAGTTTGCGTTTTGTAATGACGCGCATAGATTTATGCTGTTGGTAAAATTTATGTTTACGTGTTTGAGTAGAAAAAAAAAGTATTAGTTTAACACTAATTCTGCGAAATAAAGTAAAAAAGTTGCCTGTTATACCGCAAGCATTTTAGAAAATGGTTGTAAGTATTGAAATGTTTTTCAAAATACAAGTGCATTATCCTTATTTGACAACCACTGCAGCATGTCAACATTTAAAAACCCATTTTATAACTTTACCTTTCACGTCGGCACTGATTCCAATGCTAAAACAATTGTCTGAATAATATATTGTTAAAGTACAAAGTTTGTTTTACAAACAAACTTAATATTCCATGAGCAATAAATTTAGACACCATAATTCCAGGGAAACTTTAATTACTACAAATAAATAAACAATTTATTATACTGAATTTATGGTTTCTTCAATCCTTAATATTTTTTAATTAAATGTAATTTATTTGGTAGATACCTACATCTTTTTTTTGCAAGATTATTAATAATAATTGAAGATATGTCTATAGCAGCAGTGGCAATCCAATCACAATCCAATCATTTTTTTTTAAGCAACATTAAGTAAGTTTTGCTGACTTATTAGTTTAATATTTTTGAAACGTTGCTTGTATTTTTTTTTTTTTTTTATATTTTATACGCATATACAAGTATGTTGCTATTTTTTTTAGTTCGCATGCATAAACCCAAAGCCAATTTTATCATATTTTATTACAGATCTAGATTTGAGAGTAGCCATCACGGTTTATTCTAATACACATATATATCGTAGCGCAATCTGCAGAAAAATTAGACTGATAAACGCGTGCCGCGCACAAGGCCGAATCTAAAATTTTTTTCAGCGTGGGTGTGGGGTCTAGTCGGAGATATTTTTGTCCGATGTAGATGATCGTGAAAAAAATCAAGTGGACCCCAGATACCATCATCGTCTTTGTGGGTGACGGGTGCGATATTTAATATTATTTTCTACCACCGACTATACCACTATAACGGGTCTAAACGCATAATATCGAGATACATGTCGTCGTATCGATTCCTGTCCCGACTGTTCCTCTTAAACGTACATTGAATAATTATGATCCGTCTAAGCCCACGTGGCCTGCACCGCAGCTTAAGGCCGTTTACAATTCAACGATTTCGTAGATCACGCGATATGAACACGTCGCGCGACACGCGATAACGACGATATAATAATCGACGTCGCATTGCCATCGCGTATCGGACACACGTACAAATATTATATTATATACTCACACCAAGTTGACGCACAGTCCGACGGCGGACGTGATGAGCATAATGTCGGCGTCGATGGTGTACGTCATGTCCGTGAGGCGCTCGACGGCCAAGTACAACAGCACGCCGGTGACCACCCAGATGAGGAGGACGGACGTGAGGGCGCCCAACACCTCGGCCCTGTACCAGCCGAACGGCATCGACTGCGTGGCCGGCCTCGAGGCCACCCATATGGCGCAAAGCGATATCATGAAGCTGGCGAAGTCCGTGAGCAGATGTGACGCGTCCGTCGCGATGGCCAGACTGCTCGACAAATACCCTCCTGCGCATCACGCAATATTAACGTTTGACGAATACTTTACGGAATGCACGTCACGCGGCCGCGCCGAGCGTTATGCTCAGCTATGGGCATACGAATAATTCCCGCCAAGACTTACCGATTCCCTCTCCGACCATGAACAGCAGACACAGTATGCTGGCGAATATGAGTTTTCGCCTGGCCTTCTGACTGCTCGACGTGCTCTCTCGGTTCGGGTGACAGTGTTCATTGACTGCGAATCAAAAAAAAAATCATATTCGTCGTTATTATATAGCGATATGCGTGCAGGCCTCCATAATTATATTTTACAATATCGACTCTCGCACCGATATTGTTTTCGTTTCAAAATATCGCGACAAACGTAACGCGGAAACGACATTCCCGAGAACGCATAATTATTTACGTGTAATTATTTGACCATTCGTTATATATTGACATAGATAAGGACAGGGCAGATAAGGCGTAGTTCGAGGATACGGCGGACTGTATCTTTAACTAATATTAAGGATACACGCTGAACTATATTTTTAGCGCGTACGGTAATAAAAGGTTTGCGGTTGCTAACACTCGGTAGTGCCCAACTTCACCTGGTACGTTCTTGGCCAAATATTTACAATTTTCAATTTTTTAGTACACCAATTATATATTGAAATATTTAGCGTCCACAGTTGGAATGAATATAAATATATTGTATTATATACAGAGTGATTCGTCGAGCATGATCACTCCCTTTTTTTTTTTGTTCATATAGCCTTTGAACAAGTTGCAAAAATATTTTGAAAAATGTATTCGCTAAATAATTTACAGTAGCCAGCTGCCAGGGGGATCTAATTTGAAAAACAGGAGTTTGTAGTTTTGTACCTCCGCAGGACGCTCTTTAAAAAGTACAAAAAAACTGAAGAATTTAAAAAATACCCTTACAGTATGTTTAAAAATTCCAAACATCAGAATTTGATTGGAATTCATTAAGTACTAAACGAAAAGTGGGGTTGATCACTCTTTGTAAATCCCCCTATATAAAATTAAAGTCTTACAACCAAACAAATTAAATGTTTAATACTAATATATATATAATATTGCTTAAATATAATATTTTAACTCATTTTCCAGCCTTTAATGCTACTTTACTTTTTGGAGGTCTTCAGTTTTTTTTATTTTATCCTTCATTTCATTTTCTATTTGACCAGGAACGAATAATGAAAAATTTCTTTTTCCAAGCATAAAGTTGTTGTATTATGTATAATATAAATGAATCGATAAAAATCAAACTAACAAATATAGCAACTAAATTAAACATCTCAAATTCCAAAATGTCCTATACAAAACCCTAGCCCCATTTGGGTTACAGTATAATCTAGGGCAGTCATCCCAGACAAATTGAAAAATACCCATAAAAATCGGTTCACGATACACGCACACGACACACAGACATACGATACCGTAATAACCGTTACATAGGATTTAGTTTGGTTCTGTTATGATCATAATAATATAATATAGACGTTTTAGTTTTTATATATGTAGGCTTTTTTTGTTCATTATAAAAATGGTGTTTCAATGAAAAATCTTATCAAGAAAAAAAAACAGATATTATATTACACTAAATAATCGTTAATTTTGTTTCATTCGTTTAATCTAATCTTTTTGTGTGACTGTATATTATGTTCAACATTATACAGTAAACACTATATTTATAATAAAATGTGTCCAATAGTTTAAAGTGTTGTTCGAAAAACGCTGCAACTCCGCGTTTTGTTGGTATTTTTTGTTACCAGAAAATGTACCTAAATCCGTTCACATTAAAATACACCTCTCATTATCGGTGTGGGTGGGTGCTGTAAAATGACCAAATTTGTAGTACCCAATATATGTAAAACGTGCAACGGAACACAATATCCGTTAAAACACTGAACACTCTACACGTTAACGTTTCAACGGACTTTCTAACGGTTTTTCTCTTCGTATCCACATATCACTATTTTGTACGATCAATTAAAAACAGTCGACATTATACCTGGGACATTATTATATTATTATCGGTCATACTCGAGGCGAAAAAATCGAATATATAGAACCGCGCGTCCCCGCGTTTATCGATTTCTTATTTTTGACGACCGCGTGCGGACGTCGTATATATCGTAAAACGTATCTATGTACGTGACATTATTTTAATTCCGGATAGACCGCGGACTGCGGCACTTACAGATTGTGATGGATGATTTTCCGTCTGCCGGGTCGGGGGTTTCGTGGTTGGAATTGCTGTCCTCGGTCGAGACCAGTGTGGCGCAACAGCCTGACGGTTTGCCGTGTATGCAGTACACTTTACCAGAACCGTTTGACGGTTGCCGTACAAAAGCTCCGGTCATCGTCGGTGTTGTGCTCATGAACACGTCTTCATTAACGGACCCGTACTTGGAACTTTCGCCTAACCTGAAAAAAAAAAATGCCAAACCAAAATTATTATCGCCCTCCAGTAGGTACGTCGAACAACTGCACGCGCGCACATCGCATAATACCGCCGTCGTCGTTTATATAAAATATTTACGGGCGATTTCGTTGAAAATAAAAAACCGTAAACATGCGGTAAAAGTCGACATCGATTTCGCGATATCGTATACTCTTATGCACACGGCGGAGACGGATTTTTAAAGGCTAGTAGACGTCGCGCAAAAAAAAAAACACAAACGGAAAATATTAAAGCACTCGCAGTCGTTCCTTACAGTGGAATAAATTCGTTTTCCATGGTGCATTAGGATCGACAATTCACTGTGTTAAACTGCAGCAAAACCGCTATGTATTATAATATTATGTTATTATTATAATATTATTACAGGCAAGACCGAACAACATCGATGTGCAACGATAGAACGAAACACTGTGCGCACAATCGCACTGCTAATATAGCGTAGCAGTCATATCGACGTCATGCAACAATCGAAATTTAAAATGTAATACTATGGTTTCGAGACGAGAACTACAGGCGTTCAACAAGTCCCATTTTTCAGTAACGACTATAATATTTACCGATGGAATTGGTCCGATAAGCACTCTAATATTGAATATGTAATAAAGTGGAAAAAAATATATCGAAATTGTTTTCCATGTTGTTATCTATACTAATTACGATGACACAACCCTGGAGGGGGTTTCGCTTCCACCCAACAACTACGTTGCCGTTGTGCTCGAGATTCGAGATTAAAACGCACCTGCAGTATTGACTATTATAAGGTATTAATACTGTGTTTGTTCTGTATTATTTCAGATTATTTTCATTCAGATCCGTTTAAGTACAACAGCAAATAAATCTTTACAGTGGCACTCAGACATGCTTTTCTAACTTGATGTAATATTATAAGTAAACGCGGTAACACATCACGTACCTATAATTTTATAATAATCCATACGTGAAAACGGCGACACGAATAACCTTTGACTTTCATTATCAACACTGTTTGGCCCGTTTAAATGCTTATCTTGAAATGTACATACATATTCAGTTTGTATTTTTCACATGAATTAAACAAATTCAAATAATAACTAGGTACCTATGAACTGATTGAATATAATTTCTACAATAATAAATATAATGAATTGTAATTATACTATTATCATGTACCTATCGTTTAAAGACTTAAAAGTTAAGGGTGATGACGACGGTATACCTACTGTTTGAATTATAAATAAGAAACAAAAACTAGGTATGTGTGTCATTGGATGACAATAATATTGTGTTCATGAATACATTATAATTTAATAATTATTCGTATTAAAAAATAAAAAGTCGACTAATGTTTTGCAATTCGTGTTTGACTTTGACAATGTCATAAATGTTATTATTTAACCAAAATAAAAATAATTCAACGAATACTGAAGCACTTGTTGAGTTCTAAAGTACATTTAGTTTTATTTAGTATTTAAATGAAAACCCTGATTATAAAAATTAAAAATAATATAGCCATACTCAAGACTTATGATAATATATACGTATCATAATAATACTTACACGGTAAGTTGTACTTACGTCTTAAGCGACTTAACACCAACATGGAGTAAGCGTTAGATGAAATCACCATAGATTGCTATTTATATTTTTTACAGTGCCACTAGACTTCTAAACCTATTGTAAATAAACATTTCAAATGTAAATATGTATATACATTTAAAATCGTATTTACTGTTACTTATATTATATCATGTAAAAATATATGAAATTTGAACCCATGTAATACTTTGTAGACTAATTACCCTAATTGTCGAAGCCTTTATTCTTAATTTAAAAATAATACCTGAGTATGGTATTTTATTTGATACATTTTTTTTAATTTGTACAATTATAGTGTATTAATAACTGGACTTTAAACTACACCACAATGTGTAAGTACCTACATACGCATTTTTGTAAGAAAGAAAAAATGAACAATATTTCACTCATAATTAAACATTTTTTAATTCAACATTAGTTCAAAACTATTAGCATTACCTAGTATAATATTATAACAACAAATATTTAAATTATGGACTGTGGAATAAATTATTAGTAAGAAATATGATAAATGAACATTAAAATAAATCATCTTTGTGGTACGCACATACTTATCTCACCAATAGAAAAAAATTATATTCAGGTGTATAATAGAGCGAGCAATTAGATGAATAAAAATAGGTAGTTAATTGGTATATCAAATCGATACTTAAAGCTATAAAAGAGATAATTTAGAGAAAACTAAACGTTTTCATTTAAACGAACAATAGAGGACAGGCATCAATTTTATGAAAATTGATACGAAGCAATGGGTAGGTATAGGCATCCGATAATAATAATAATGACTATAAATTTAAAATAAAAAAAAACCATAACGTGAATTAGACGTATCAATTGGCCGGTTAATAAAAGCAGAAAAGCTCTCTGTGCATCGTTAAGGTTTCAAGCTCCAGCTGTTAAATAATTAGTTCATAATCAAACAATCCGAAATCGATTAGTTCAATGATTAGATCGTGACACAGTGCATTCAGATTTTATTATTTTTGACATTGGATTTAATAGTCCATGATCAAACATTTCGACGGACATTTTAAAATTAACATCAGGCACTAACCTTGACCGGAAACGTTAACGTTACGCTAGTAATTCTCATTTTCATAAAGATTTTCAAGATTTTCAAGACTTTTGACCACCTATAAAATATAAATAATTGCACTAAAGGTGCCTGATTTTAGTTTTATTCCGAACTTCAGGCTCGAGAGAAAATAAGATGGATTATTGTTACCGTTGTCGTGTTATATAATAATATGATAATCAGTAACTATGTACAAATTGAACGTTTAACGAAAGTGCTGTATTGAAGGTAACGAAAATTTTAAAATATGCAGTTTTATATGCCGTACGTAGTGTGTAGCTATAATTCTATAAACACAGAGTGATCAAGAAAGTCCGGCTAAACACTCAGAAAATGGTAAACTAGTTACCTACCTATATAATATATTATGATGTGATACTTACATTTTTAAGTTAATCAAACAGTTAATAAATAATAATAAATTAGTAAATTTTAGATAATATAATACCTAATACCTATGTAGTATGTACAGGCAAATAAACAATTTACATAGGTATAAAATACTAAAAATCAACATTGATAAGACTAGTTTAAATTAATTGCTAATAAAACTGTTACATAATACTACAAATAACAGCGATATAACCGATAATCAATAGCTGGTTATTATATTTTAATTACAAACTAGAATATTATTATACCTACTAGTATTTTTATTCAAATTATTGTTGTTATTATTATTATATAATTATTAACACTACATAACTTAGAAACATTTTGTTTTATTAATTTTCATATCAAAGTAATAATATACCATCTATTAGTTAAAATAAAATGTATGATGCAATAATCGTAAAATCAATACTAAAACTTGTGATATTGAAAATATATTATGACTTTTGGCAATACAGTAGACAATAGTCTTAACAATATTTTTTTAAACAAATCTGATAACACATATTACATTTTATATCGTACCTTTAAATTAGAGTTGTTTCATATAAACTAGCTACCTACGTACTTAATAAATGTATATTCAACAGTGATGAGGAGAGAATAAAATATTCTATAAAATATATAAGTTATAGCTGTAGACGGATTTAGACCGCGTCCGTCTAACTTCCTAGCTTATCTAATAACAATATTATTATTTTGGAGTTAATCAATTAACAGAAATTATTAACAAACTACAAATTTGCATTTATTGTCAAGCTAATTAAGACAGGTGAAAGCCCTGCAGGCACGTATCGCCTGGTGTGATGAAGACGATCCCCCCTCTGAACCGTACAACGTTTTGTACTTTTGTTACAGAAGTTACGAAGTATCCATCATAACTCTTGAGTTCTCATTTGAAACTGTATTATCGAGTATTTTAATATTCAAACGTTTTGTTTAACTGTTTTTGTAGGAAACTCTTCGCGGGTTGTATTTTTAGTTATTTCAAATAAAACTACTAAACTCAATTTAGTTGTTTGAGTAACGAAATTATTCAACACCTAGCTTCTGATTATTTATTTTGAAACTTTAGGTTTTGCTTATTATTATTAGATTAAGACTTGGTTAAGAATCAGAATAACTAAACATAGACACTTACAGAATTGGCACTTTTGAATATACGACATACACCGCATTGAAATCGTCAACGTAAATGTAAAATTTTTACCGATTTACTGAAAAAGCTTAGGATTTTATTATTTAGATATATTTCAGTTTAATCATAAAATTATTTTGCACATGAAATAAATTAAAATTTTAACTTATTATACTTTTTTTTTTACTTTTTTTTTCAGTAAGACATTTTTATATTTTAACTTTTTTTTAATATTTGTTTTTTTCTCCCAGATTCAAGCACAACATAAATAAATGCATTCACCTAAAATTGTTTTTTTATGATTTTTGAGTAACCTTGGAGTAAAATTATCTATTATAAAAATTTTAGATGATAATATTTTTGAGGGTAGGTATGATATATTGGTTTTTTATTTTTTAATTATTTAATTAAGTATTCGACTTAAAAAATAAAAAATTTTTTTTATTTAAATGATGTTTTAATTTTTTGGAGCCAATATTAAGACAAATCGATATGCCATTCTCTTAAAAATATTATTCTTTATTGATTTTGTAATGGGTAATTTTATTCTGAGGTTATTCTAAAACAAAAAAAAAATGATTCTGATTAAATGCGTTTTGTCTATGTTGCGAGTAGGCAAGAGAGAAAAAACAAATAGTGCCCTGACAACCTCTGACCGAGTGTCAACTAATAAAAATCAAAATGATACCAAACATACGGTTTTTTTTCGTCAGTATGGTGTTTTTTGTAAAAAAAATTATTACTTTATGTTATTCTTTATGTACCTATCGTCAAAAAATCTA